ATTAATTTAAAAAAAAAATTTATTAAAAATATTAATTATTCATAAAAGTAAATCAGAAGAGAATTTATAGTAAATAAACAGGCAAATTTACCTGTGAAATCCTACAATCTAAGGGATAGTGACTTAGAATAACATTGTACTGAATTTCTGGAACTTAGATCTAGTGTAAATTGAACAGTTGTAAACAATAGGAAATTTATGTAACACAAAAATCAGCTAGCTCAGCATCCACAGTAATTATTCTGAATTCTTGTTAGATAAAATGATATTTTAACTAATAAAAATGTGCTGCACAATAGTTCTATGTCTTTATTATAATATGCTATATAATAAACAAATTCAATAAACGAAAAGAAAAAATATTTATATATGTTAACTACTATAAAAAAAAAATAATAACTTAATAATTTAATTTAAAATAATTGTCTTAGTTTAAAATGAAATTATTCAAGTATTGTAATAGATGAAGTTCGAGGTTTTTTTCTTGATCAAATATAAAAGCTAACTGTTCTTGTCCCATATTTTCAATTTCAATGCCATGAATATTTTTATTTAAGTAATTATTAATAAGAGAAGGGGAAACCATTTCACAAGATACTTGATAGATTTGATCATTACATTGCTGTTGATAAAAGAAAACATATTCATTTTGTTTTAATTGCATTCTATTTTCCTTAAGCAAATTTAATAACTTTATAATAAGCTCATTAGAGATTTTTTCACAACTAACATGATACTGATAATATTAATTTGGTGGTCGATAAATAAACTTGTTAGAATGGATTGGTTGGATTGGAACTTGAGGATTTCCAAAAGAATTGGTTTGAGATGACTGATAGCTTGGTGTTAAATTTTCTTGCTGCGGTGTGTTAGTCACATGATACATGTTCTCACTTGATGCATTTGTTACTTGTTCAAAATTCGATTGAGATAACATTTACTGTAAATCAAATACTGTAAATGGTGATCTTTATATAAAAGAAATAATTTATTTTCAATAAAGAATTGTTATTTTTTAATTATAATTTTTTTGTTTCAACGATTTTTACCTTTATATTTTTTTAAAAAGAAAAAAAAAAGATCGTTTTACATTTATACATTTCTCAATGTTACACGACATTCAATGATTTACGGTAAATAATGATTAGATAGTAATTAATTTATGATTTAGATGCTAATTTTAGGAGGGATCAATCCCTTGTAATTAATGTAGTAAATTAAAAATTTATAAACGTTATTTATATTTATATATTTTAAGTTTAATTACCCAATAATCAGATTAATTAATTAAGTTAAATTAATGTGCTTTAAGCCTCTTTTTTTTTAAAAAAATGATCAGTGTCAAAAACAATGAATGATTGAAATACTGGAAAAAAAACGAAATTAATAACGATTTACGCTAAGTTTGGTTAAGATTAGTTCGCGAAGTGCCGAATTTGGATTTGACATTACTCTAATCATTACTTCACTCACATCTTAATAATCAATCTGTAATATGTTGGAACATTTTAAACATTTTTTTTCTATCTAAACCTTATTGCAGTCAATATAGAATTGTTCATTTCATTGACTTTTCATATAAGAATTATTTATTGTTCCACCAAGTTTTCTTAGGAGGAATTTGAACAATACCTACATAAATGTTACACGACGTTATTATGTGTGTTTGTAAACCTTTAAAACCATAACCTTTGGACTTTTCTTAATAAAAAGTTTCCAGGATTCACGTGAGCAAGGCTAAAGAACAAAATTTATTTTTTCCTTAAAATCTTTGATTTTAGCCAATCAGAATCCTTGTCAATGTAACCTATTACCGATAGATTTTTTCGTCAGCCGAGTTAATCCTACCAATCCTACCATCTGTAAATCAACTTGATCCATTATAATAGGAATTCTATGTTATAGTTAAATTATTATGTTATTATGTGATTTATATTCATTTATATTTTTTTATTAGTTGCTTTCTTAGATATTGGGATATTTATTATTTTAAAATGAAAAACGTGTCTTAATATTCATTGAATGGTAATCAATTCTCAAAACATAATACTGGTAAGGGAAAATCTTTTGAACCTGCATTTCATATATATCACTTGGGAATAAAATTCACACATCGTATCTTCTGATTTTGCGATTGGATAAGTCGTAGTCCATTCTATACTTTTTTATTTAGCCAATGATAACTGTAAAAGTACTACATAAAAATACTCCAAGATTCATTTCTATTATATTCATTGTACTTTATCTAATAATTGACGTTTGAGATTTTACATTAGTGATCAATTGTTGACTGCTTTCAATTTTGAGGCGATGCAGTAAGTGTAAATTTTTGCTTGGATACATATTAATTCTCTTGTTTAAATAAGTGAATTGTAAGATAATTGGAATTCTTGGAAATTTTTATTTACTCAACAAACTGGAAGAAAGGCCTCATTTTTATTTCAAAAGCGAATTGATATTAAGAAAAATAAATTTTTACAAAACAATAAAAAAATTTTTTCTAGTATTTCTAATTGAGAATTGTACAGCTTGATATTATGTTCAAAATTGAATGTTTATAAAACAAAATAAAAAAGTTCTTGTTTTCGTTCCTTCTTTAAAAATAGGAAAGACTTGAATCACTGCATTAATCTCTCTATTTAAACCTTATAATTAAAAGGTTATTGAATTCAAAGCATCCAAATGATGTATGAAAAGTATGTGTCTTTTCCGAAACTATTCGTTCTCAATTTATATTTTTATATTATCATCGTTTTAAATTTTATATATCTCAAATTTCTATATTTTATTCTATATTTTATTAACGAACAAGTTTGATATGTATGGTCACGTGTAGTTTTTATTTGATATACATTTTACCAAATTGATAATAAGCATTACGGTTAATTATGATAATCAATCTTTGAATATTGCCTTTTTTTATTCCGAATATCGGAGTATTGTTTCCGTTATCATCGTTAGAGTTGTTATCATTATGAAACACCCCTCACTTGTGCAAGTTCGTACAATAAACAAATAATAATAAAAAGTTCTTTTATGAAAGAAAAAAGGCAAATCCCTTTCTTTCATCAATGATTACATTATATAAGATTACCAAACTATCAGTATGAATTGAACACAATAAATATCAAGTGAAACCATAGATAAGGCGGAACGAATATTATGACGCAGTAATTAAATTCCGATTTTAAATTCGCCATAAAACTGATTATATATACAATTTTATGACTCAGTAAATATCAAATAACGCGTAAATTTTAAGCAGAATTACATACCATAGGATATTTTTGAATGAATGATTCTTATTTTATTTAACCATAATGCATTGTTAATAATTTATTATTAAAAGCAAAACACATTTATTAGTATTTTACGTATAAATATACATGGTAAATGAGTGTATTTATCTTTTTTTTTTCATCGAGTCGAAAAATTTGTGATGCGATGCTCTATCCTGACAAATTAACGGTCGTCAAAAATAATTAATTGATAATATAGCGATGTGATCAATCATTTTATTTTATCATAAATTTTTAATTTATGCCATCTTACTTAAATTTTTTTATTAATAATTATACATATATATTTCAAAACCTGCGGAACAAATTTATTTAGAACCAAAAATAAGGTTAGAATATAAAACAAAAGATCTGGGTGGTTTTTCAAATATTTTAATAGATTTCGACGAATTTTAATTAAAATTGGAACGTTAATTTTTCCATTGCATATGATCCAAAAGCTTCGAAATTTATATAGTAGACATTTATTCTAGCCTTATTGCCACATTTTATGATTCATAATTAAAACATGTTTAAATACGTAGAAATAATCGCTAATTATTTTTTTAATTAGCAAATTTTGATCTTGATCGAGTATAAATATTGTTTTCAAACGTGTATTTAAAAAACTAACTATTACAGTTCAATTTAATTCCATGATAGTTATAATAAAGGAAATTTTTTTCGCAAAATATCTGATTAGATTGTTATTACATTATTGATAAAAGAAAGTATATTCTTTTAATTTGTATAATATTGATATCGAGATTTTTACAAAATAACAAGATGTAAAATAATAAGTCAAATATTTGTTGAAGCTGTTGGTAACTTATTCCGTTTATAATTATAATCCTATGACAGTGAGTCACGATTTCGTTTGAAGCTTTTATTTGATTAAAGCGAGTCGTAATATATCTGCATAATAATTAGAGACCACCATTATAAATTAAGCGTATAAGTGAAATTTATGAAAATTATAAAAGGTAAAGAGATATCTAATTTTCAATAAGTTACAGTGGCGATCATAAATTATGCAACAAAAAAAATAATTTTCATTAAAACGAAATATTTCTTGTAATTACGGAAAT